AGAGAGAGAGAGAGAGAGAGAGAGAGAGAGAGAGAGAGAGAGAGAGAGATTTATACATACATATACCAGTTCTTTCTGGTTTTCGAATCTGATTGGCTGAGAGCCTTTTCCAGAGGTGCGATATCAGTCTTTGTCAGTCACGTGCGTTTATTATGTGTGACGTCACCGAGGCGCCATTTTGAAGGTATCGTTGCATTGAGCAGTGAACTAAAAGTGTAGAGCCGTGCAGTAAAGACCGATTAAATCGTCATACTGGAGAAGCAGATGCATAACAGAACTCCAACTTTTTCACTGTTTGTTTCACTCCGCTTGCAGAGTATTTCTCACATCAAGTGTCATGGCGAACACCCAAATCCACTACAATTTTATAAATAATAAATATTTTTAAAGGGGTCCTATTATGCTCTTTTACAAAGTCTTGATTTTGTTTTGGGGGTGTACTAGAACATGCTCTCATGCTTGGTGGTTCGAAAAAACGCATTATTTTTCACATCATTTACATTATTAAAATACCTTTCTCCCCATCCTGGCACAAACGGCTCGATTAGTTCCGGCTTTGATGAAGGTCCGCTTTCCGAAAAATAAAATGTGTTGTGATTGGTTAGCTGTCCCAGTGCGTTGTGATTGGCGAACAGCTTAGACGGTGTTTCAGTCCTGCCACGCCCCTTGCTCCGTCTTTCAACAAAAGCTTTTTGGCAAATCCGGCAGGCACTGTACTCCCTCATGTTGTGGAAGCTGTCCTCAGTAAAATGCGCAGCACACAATAGCAAATTGGGGTTATAATGCTCAGGGACAGAGTTAAAAAATAAATTGCAACCACTGTTTCCTGACATCATCCGCTTTCGGAAGCTCAAACAAAGACATTTGGGCACGGAGGGGAAAAAAAACAGCGTTTCAGGCGGTCGCACACTGGACGAGAAGAGCAGCGTCGGCGTCGCGCCACATCTTTAAAATTCAAATACATTATTTTCTATGAGTGTAGGCACATGGTGTGCTCTGATTTGCCAGCTATCCAGTGCGTTGTGATTGGCCGAATACCTCAAGCTGTGACGGAAATGTTACTCCCCTTAACATACTGCGATGCCGTCTCCCAGCAGGACAAGACTCAGACTGTGTTCGAAATGCCATACTATCATACTACTCTTACTATTTCTGCAGTATCCAGTATGTATGCTGTGCATAGTATGCAAATTTCTGTATGCATGTAATATCCGGATGACCTACTATATTCGCCAGAATCTGCTAAATATAACTCAAGTACACTGAAATCAGTACAAAAGCTGTTCAGAATGGCATACTACCATACTATATTGCAGTATGCTGTGTGTATACTGTGAATAGTATGTGAATTTTCTGTATGGATGGAATGCCCGGATTACCTGCTACATTGGCTCAAATTTGATGTACAGTGGGGCAAAAAAGTATTTAGTCAGCCACCAATTGTGCAAGTTCTCCCACTTAAAAAGATGAGAGAGGCCTGTAATTTTCATCATAGGTATACCTCAACTATGAGAGACAATCACATTGTAGGATTTTTTTTTAAATTATTTGGTAAATTCCTCGGTAAAATAAGTATTTGGTTTCTCTTTCATGAGATTACTTCCTCGTTTTGGCCGGGTTTCGTTTCTGCATGTCGTAAACTCAGGGGCGAGGCTTCTAAACCAGGGTGTTTTTAGGGGCGTGATATCCAAATAACGATTGTTTTCTGGCGCCACATTTATCAACATGCGATCATTCGTACGATGAGATTAGCAGCATACGATATGTTTCATACACTCTGTCGTAAATTGATTTGTGCGCTCGTGCGATCTGCGCTCGTTTCTATGTTAGATTGATAAATGAGGCCCAGTGTAACTAGAATATATCACTTTTTAATATATCGCCACTTAGTGTAACTACCAAAAATATCAATAAAGACAGCTCAGTGTTGATTTAGTTCTGTCCAATATGTAAAGTTAATCAATTATGAAATGAGTTCAATTGGGCAATATAGCATTGTTTACTAGTATGAAGCCTTATTAACAAGCCTTAGAAACAAATGAGCTAACTGTTCTTTTTACAAAGGTAACAACCTTGACAGCTGTGCTGAATTAATGTTCAGTGTTTGTCATGTGACAGCACTTAAGCATACTATTCTGAAACATTTATTGCTTATTGTATACTGTTTCACACACTATTCTTTACAAAAATAGTAGGCAGTATGCACTGTGTACTGGGCAGTAAGCAAGTATGCCATTTCAAACACAGCCTCAGTCCAGCTGCTCTGCTCATGCACATCCCATCATCGGTTCTCTTTTAGCAGTTCAGTCAATGTACTGTTAGGAGTAACTGAATAACTCGGGATATTGATTTATTTAGCGTCAGAGGGAGTGTCAGGCACATTTATAAACCGAATATAAGTAATTTGTGGATTAGTGCGTACTGGAGACGCGAACCGTTTCAAAATTCAGTTCGATTTGGTAAACTGGTTCGAACGGTTCACTAAGAAGATCCAGTTAAATAGAACGATTCGTTCGCGATCCGGACATCACTAGACGAGACAAAACAAATAAAACCCATTACAAACTAGGCATTTGTTGCATCCAGTGGGGACATAATTACTGATTATAATGACTTATACTGACTTTTTACGCGTTGCGTATCGCGCATAAACATAAAACCATGTCTGCATTTAGGATCGGAGAAACAACAAACAACAAGCCTACTCTACACTGCTCAAAACTCGCGTTTGAATCATCATTGGCAAATTATTTAATTATAAAAAACGTACTTACAGGCTGTGAGTCAGATGCGCCAGACTGTCCTTGCAAAGTTGGAACTGCCAAACTTTATATAAACAGCCTTTGTGCCACAGACGCATTAGGCTACTGGTTCAGGAAACAGTCCTCATCCATCCTCCATAAAATGCGCAGCACACATCTGAATATTTGGGTTGAACTGTTCTGGAACATTGTTGTAAATACAACTTAACCACTGATTTCTAGTCATGTCCTCTTTTGGAAGGTCAAACAAAGTAGTTTCGCTTTCACAACGAAACACACAGCGACTCCACAACATGGCAGCGGCGGCAACAGCGAGAATAAAAGTTACGCCTTCTTTCTTTGCGTGAACATTTGGACGGCGTTATGCAAATCTTCCCACATTGTGAAGTAGACATGTGGGGGCGTGTTAGAACGAGCTCTTTTAGGTAGGCTTGGCTGACTCTTATATTTTATAAAGAATGTCTCTTTGGATTTGAGACTTTAGTCTTTGGAACTTTACAGATCTTCTTTATGCACCAAGAGCTTGTAACACTCCAAAGAGAAAGGAAAAATTTAAATTGCATCATATGACCCCTTTAACTTTGAGCGCCACTTTAGAAGGCTCAGCTGAACAGCTATGCGTCGATGCTAAGACAGAGATTTCGCTTTCCCTGGACATGACAACCTATTTTCACAAATATATGACTCGGCCTGGAGGACAAACGCAAGTAATCGCACATGCTCAGTCGATCTCTCTCTCACTCACCGTCTGTTTAGGCTTGTTAAGTGCAAATCTATGGAGCCTCTGTACAAATCAGCATGGTATACATTATGTTATCATTATTAACTTGTTTAATATTCAGTCCACATGCCTTAAGTGTAAAACGAGAAGGGCATAACCTTACGAAAAAATAAAGCACTCAAAAATCGCAGTTGCTGCGGTTCATGCATTCCTCTGCAGTTTGCTCGTCAATAGTGCAGTACTGCGGTTATCGCGACAGCCCTATAACCAACTCATGGAAGGTAAGCCTTCCTGTTTACATCATGATGAAATTGATAATACAATGATAGTGTAAGAAAGAAGAGTTTATATTCAGGGTGTCAGAGAAGGTTAAACTCCTAAACACTATGCTACTGGCAGAGCAAAACATTACTCTAGAGTCAAAACCCCCTTTCTTAGATTAGTTAATCAAAACCAGGCAGTTACTTCAGTAGCAAAGCCCTATAGTACACACACACACACACACACACACACACACACACACACACACAGCTACAGCAGTAGCCTGCCTCTGCCAGCTACAACAGGAGCAAAAACACTGTCTAGACTTGGCGAGAGAGTTCATCTAAATGTCAGCAATTCTGATATTTCTAAATGTATAAAACCATTAGTGGAACCTTTAACTGACACTGTACTATACAACACAATAAACAAACAATAACATTTGATTACTAAAGAAAGTCTACACACAAATGTCACTGATTATGTCAATTATCTAACTCAGTGACAGGCAAACTTGGCCCTTCCAGGCCACTTTCCTGCAGAGATTTGATCCAACCCTGATATGACTCACCTGCCTGTAGCCTTCTAGTAGTCTTGAAGACAATGATTAACTGGTTCAGGTGTATTTGATTAGGGTTGGAGCTAACCTCTGAAGAAAAGTGGCCTGGAAGGGCCAAGTTTGCCCACCCCTGATCTAACTGAAAACAAAGCATCTCATTGGCTGTGTCTCAATACTAAGAAAGCAACCAACATCCCAAATGGTCAAAGGTTTGGGTTCAGTAATTTTTTTTTCTGTTTGTAACACGGTAAAAAATTTATTAAATCTTAAAATATATTCAAATATTAAACAGTTATTTTTAATGTAATAATATTTCACAATATTATGTTTTCAATGTATTTCTGATCAGATAAATGCAGCCTTGGTGAACATAAGAGACTTTTTAAACAGATTTTTATGAATTTTATTGACCCCAAGCTTTTGAATGGTAGTGTACCTCTAATAAATGATGTTTTAGTAGGCAGTTCACAACATTTCGAGACACAGCAATAATGATGCTTGTGTGAACTCTCTCAGGTTAAATCTGCATCCAGGACCTGTTACCTTTAGGTGATTTTCTACAGAAGGAGGAAAAACCCTTCATACTGTGGCTTCTCATAGATGCAATGGCTGAATACAGGGTAAAACAGGTGAGCGATGAGAGACAGAAATGTTATGTGATGAAAATTCAAAAGGAGAGATGGAAAGTAGTGCATTTGTAACTTAACAGTAATGAAATCGTAGACAAGCAGCGTTCCAAGATGTTTTGTAAAAAAAACACATCCTTGGCAGGATATTTCATATCCTATGTGTTATCTTTTTACCACTAGATGGCAGTCTCAACATATAACTGTAAATCAGCCATGAAAACATGTTGGCACTAGGGGTGCCAGCTAACAGAGAAATGCCAGTGGGGCACATGCTGTCTGGCAATACATTTCACTGCATGCCCACCATAAGGCTCTGATTCCACAGTTACACAAGTCAATGGGGAAAGTAAATCAAGTGTGCAAATACCAGAGGTTGAAGAAAACAACATTTAAATTAGCAAAAAATGCCATTGTGTGCCTGTGTGTATAATTACCTTTCTTAGGTGAGCTGTGAGGGGATGTGGGAGGAGATGACAGCTGTGAGGAGTTGTTGGACACACTGTCCTCTGTTGGTTTCCTGTGTCTCTCTCCTGCCTCCTCTGAAAGGGACAGTATCTTTTTCAGAGACTGTGGTGAGCTTGTGCCTGTGCAAACACAATAAGATTCTTATGAGCACCCGTATTACACAATGTAGAAGCTGATCATGTTTAAGCTACATAAATGCGGAGTCTCACCAAATGGCGGCAAGTCTTTGACTGGCACTTTCTTGCGTGATGGGTAGAGGGCTACGGCAGGCACTTGAAGCGCCTGGTTGGCTTTCTGAAGCTGCTGGCGCTGGTGAATGGCGGCCCGTGCAACTACAGGCGATGTGTCGGGTCTCTTCCTGTCCCCGGAACTCTTCGGCACTGTAATGATATAAGACAAATAATAAATATTTAGATAAGCATTTACAGAATGAGAAAAATAATTTTAGAAGAACTATTTTATTCAACAAGAACACATTCAATTGATAAAAAGTGACAGAGTAACATTCATAATTAAGAAATTTATAATGTTACAAAAGTTCATGTTAAAAAAAGTTTAAAAAAAAAAGTTATTTTGAACTTTCTAGTTATTACATAATGAATGTACATAATGAATGTGTAGGGTGCATGTGTAGCCACTAGATGTGTAGGATGTGTAGGATGTGTCCCGTACATTTATACGGGACACATCCTGGCCATGATTTTTATATTGCCTAAAACATCCAAAGTAGTTTGACCAATAACATGCAGGTATTGTACATAATCGACCAATCATGGCGCGTCAGGCGAGAGAAGGTGAGAACGATCAAAGCGATGCAAATATGCATACGTGTTTGTTCGTTCGTTCGACTTGAAGCTATGCACCGAACGTTGAGAATGACACCAAAGTACCGCGAGAGCGATTTGAAAGCATAAGGAGCTGTCTGCTCTGCTCTCTATAGCTCTCGTGAAATAATGTCATACAACGATCGATCTGCACAGTGCTAACAGCCAAAACCTGGATATTTAGGCAATACAGAAATATTTGCAAGGACGCATCCTGTAAAAATGGCCCGTATGGTCACCCTATGAATGTGACACTGAAGACTGGAATAATGGCTGCTGAAAATTCAGCTTTGCATCACAAATATAAATTACAACAAAAACAGTTTTGAAATTGCAATAATATTCTACAAATTTAGTTTTGACTGTATTTTTTATTAAATAAATATAGCTTTTGTAAGCATAAGTGATATTGAATATTTTGTTCTGTGGGGTATGCAGTTTTTTTTATTGTGAGGTAAATGTCTGTGGTGTTTTTCATCACATGCCACTGTTGTTTCCTGTGGATTCATCTATTTGTAATAGTGTGTGTACTTGCTACGCTACTCACATGTGTTGACTGAAGGCTCACACTGAATTGAGAGTGTCTGCAGGCTCTCTTCATTCGTCTCCAGGGTGAGGTTGGAGAGGTATTGTTTGACCTTGCGTGCCATCTGTGCGTCCTCGTACAGCTTCTTGGCATTGAGGAAGGAACTCCGTCTGACCCGCTTCTTGTGCCCGCCCGTCTGGGTTACATCCAGGACGGCCGCATTGGCACTACCCTGACTGAGTGACCTAAATGCACACACATATTACAGTTAAAGATGCAGGCTGACTTTAACAGTGGTAGTATGCTGATGCAGGATCAGATCAGTCTTTCTTTGACATGCGATAAGTTGCATTCCTTGCAGCTTCAATCCAAACATTCCATGCACTTCACATCTCAGCCAATCAGGCAGTTAAATAAAAACTGGATGTTAAATAAAACAACAGAAGTATAGTAAAATAACAGATTATTTGATCATTTAAAAAAATGGATCATATATATTTTTTATAGGCAAAAACCTTGAACAATTTGTCAACCATTTATTTTATGTATTTATGTTTAAAGGTGAAGTGTGTAATTTCTGCACCATTAGCAGTTTTGTATGTTAGGCTGGAATAGAAGAACACAATTTTCAACTCAAAAAAGATCTTATAAACGGCTGTGTTTGAATTCACACACATATCATTAATCACATTTTATAAACTAATACAATTATTAGTTCAAACTATAGAAAATAATCAAAAAGGCAAAAAAAACAACAAAAAAACTCACAACACTGCAAAACTTAGCTGAAGGCGTGCGGCTATGGTAAGTAGTTTAGCTGGAAGGGGCAAGTTAAATCACTTTTTGCTAAAAATGGATCATGGGATATCAAATTAATAAATGTGCAGGAACCAAACAACTGTAAATAAATTCATGCATACTAGTGGAGTCATGTTTGTGAAACATTCAAAATCTATGGTAATTATACAACAGAAACATTAGGATGTATTTTAGAATGAGGTGAGTTTATTTAATGACCCCGAGTAGCAAAAGTGATGGCGGTCAAATGCTTGGATGGGATCCGTCATAGCAGAAGCATTCTCAAATGAACCAGAAAAAGAAAAAGAATGGATGGTGAGGAGCCAGCCCAAAATAAAGGAGGGGGCACACATGAGGCCAAAGGTGAGAGTTCACCTTACTCACCCTAAACTTCTCCATTTCTTCTTCCTGTAAGGGAGAGCCATGAATAGTGAAGTGTGGGGCAGAGAGGGTAGATGAAGAGAGAAATGCGGGAGAGAGAAAGCCCATGAGAGAAAAAGAGGGAGACACACTTAGATGAGGAGAAACAGACCAAGGGTACCAAGGTGAGGTGCACCAGAGACCAAAAGAGAGACACTAACTTCTCTGACAATAATGCAGACAGAGAGTAACATACAAAATGGCTTAACTCGTACGTAAATATCACTTTAACATATCAAAAAACCTTTGGAAAAAGCCTGTGTGTGGAAGCGTGAGGTGAGAGCTGTACACATCGCCGTGAGTGGGCACTAAAAGCTACTCAGTGATGTGAAGAGTCCAGCCTGAAAGAAGGACAAAGAAGTCATTGTAGCACTCAGAACAGAAAGGCACTCACCTGGTTCTGAACATCAGAGCAGGGTCCATGTTTACAGCTGCCATTCGGCCTACGTGTCTGATCTCTTTAGCAATCATCCGCAGTTTCTCAAAGTTCACCAAACCATCTACCTTTGAGTCATTTCCTAGAGTGGACAATAAAGAAAAGGCTCATTTCATACATTTTTATAATCATTTTTTTTCCCCTCAGGGTCAAATTAAAATGGTGAAGTTTGTGTCAAAGCGGTCATATTTTCAAAATGGACTCTCAAAATGGACAGTTTTTGCAACTGCCTTTAAGACACAAACCTTGCATTAAATGCACAGCACAAACTCTTAAGATTAAACAGAAATGATCAGAGTCCTAGTTAGAAACAAACTTAGGAAGCCTATGCAGAGGAGTAGGTGCTACACAAAGCCAGGAAAATGCATTACTGACATATAAACACGGACAGTTATGTATTAATAATTTCAGACTGGGAATGAAGCTTTGAGAAAGGTATCAAGCCATTTTATCTAAAAGAAATGAAGGTAAATGTACTTGAATAATAGATAAACACAGGTACTATATACTGCATGTCATCACCTACTTCGGTGAGAACTATCTTACCTTCATGCAGGAAGGTGAGATCCTTCTTGATTACAGGGAAAAGTGGGATGATGGGTGGCTGCAGGTTCTGGCTGTTTAGAAGATTCCGGTACTTCGCCATATTCCTGGAGGGATCAAATAGATCTTGAAGATCACTAAACAGCTTCTCATATTTACTGGGCAACTTCTCCCATGTGCCTCTCAGTCTGGACACTGGTGCCAAGTTCAGACCACTGGAAAAGACACACAATGTCATTGTTACTTGGAAAAATATAACATACATAAGAGGTCTTCAGTTTAACCCTTAATTTTTCTGCCTCTTAAAATAAAGACTAATTCTACCTGATGATGGCAAACATGGAGTTGAAGTTCTTGCACTCGCGGCAATGCAGTGCGATCTTAATGAAGTGCTTGATGATCTTCATCCGTTTGAGCTGGTAGGTCTCACGTACCACCTCTGTGGCCACCCAGAAGGTCTCCCGATTGATGGCCTCCTCAAAGAGCTTGAGGCTGGGGGGCCTGGTAAGACGGGTTTTGAGCTTAAAGAGGTCATCAATGTATTCGGTGGGCTCGATGGCACAGAACAGCTCAAAGGCACGCATGGACAGCTGGGTCGCCACTTCCACTGTACTAAGCTGCAGCAGGCTGATCTGGCTCTCCCGTAGTAGTTCCTGGGCATCTTCATCCGAGCACAGTGTCTCTGTCTCCATGTTGCTTTTCAGGTAGTACCTACAGGTTAAACGGAGAATAGGCCAATGAGAGGAGAGGTCACCAGATGTTCTAAGTGGTTTGACACGAAAATAATTCAGAAAATTGATCAAAATGACCACAAGGGTTCTAAGGCATCACCTTCCACTCAGCTGGATCCTGTCGGCCAGTTTGGAGAGTTGTTCAGGGAGTCGCCGCTGCTTGATGACACCCTCAGGAGTGACTGACACCTCACACAACGAATATGCTTCAGGGGCAGCGGTCAAGGCAAACTCTCGGATGGCCTGGGCTACGACTTCTTTTGCTGTGGTGTCCTTCCCAATCATGATGTACCGACTTTGCTGGTCTGCCTTGAACACTCTCAATACCTGGTCTGACATGTCTAAAGAACAGAGGAATGGCTTAAGCCCACACACTTAACCCGTTCATTAACCAACATCTCGGTGGAAAACCACTTATAATGTGTTACACATGATCATTTTACATTACTATTGAACTTATGTCACTTTCACACTTGGTATGTTTGAATAAGTCAGAATCTGAACTAGAGTTTTGGACAGTCAAGAAGTGATCCACTTGTGAATTACACATCTACAATCCCATCATCAGGAGCTTTTTTTTTAAATAAGTTGTAAAATTTTCTTGGTGCATATGTATGCTCAGAAGACACCTTCACAACAAGCAAACAAATCAGCCTTCAAGTTCAATCAATCTCACACTGAAAAAAAACCTCTAGTGTGAAAGTGACGCAAATCAGTGAATCCCACCAAATGCAGAGTGTTTACAGATTAGGACCTGATTGAGTACCACCAAAATTTGTTCTACATAGCTTTGGATAGCAAAATCAATGTCAAAACTGAACAGAGAAGTGAAGAAGATTGTGATTAAGAAAATGAAAGTAGCTGAGAAACCTCTAAGATGACAAGATCAAATACTTACTTATAGGGACTGCTTCTGAAAGGACATTCAGGACAGCATGAGCATCTTATTAAATATTCATGTACTGAGATTAAACTTCTGTGAAAGGTTCTGTAGATGCCCTAAAGGTAAGTGCACAGCAAGACATTGCAAGAATAATATTTAAACTATCCATGTAAAGATCTCTACTATCTTTATTTACTGACGCAAAGTCTGTTCTCTCTTGAGAAGAACGTCTAACCTAGTAGAACAAATTCCTGGATTTAATGATTACTGGCTAAACCCTATCCCTAGGGAAATGGGATAGATGATAAGAACGCTGTTCACCCCTTAAGACCAAGCCACAACCTAACCCTAACATGAGAGTGGTTGACTAGACTGTTGTTCCAGAACCAACATGGATGTAGATGCAGTAAAATGTATTACTTTGCTAAACCACATTAAGTGTCTTACCAGGCTGGTTGTTGAAGTCAAGTATGCGGTGGTGTGACTGCAATAGGTCAGGGTTGCTTGATGAAAGGTTTCCACTGACAGGAAGAGCAGGAGTGATCTGCTTTGACTGCTTTAGCCCGACAATACTGTCATCCTGGGACTGTCCCACGCCAACATCACTGTAAACAAACCTGAAGAATTATACACTGAAGTGGACCAAATCACTAAGAGAGCTTTCATGCATGAAGCTCAGCTTACTTGTAAGGTTTGGGTGGAAGAATACTGGTCAGTGTCTTGTCGAAGATCTTCTTCAGCTTGTTTCTGCCACCCACGGTATTGGCCTTGGCTTTCTTACTAGCTTTCTCAAGACCCATGACCTGCTCCACATCCACAGCCAGGTCAGGGATGGAGTAGCGGCTGGCTTTCTTAATGTCCCCGATTTTGGGGATGTGAGGTGCCCCGTTCTTCCTGTCTGGCTCCTCCTCCTGTTCTTGCTCCTGGTTCTGGTCAGGCCTGGCCAGTAGCTCCTTAAACACTAAGAGCAGGGAACACAGCACAGAGAAAATGAGTTTAACAATGCCATCTGACATTTTCAAGGAACAAATAGCTTTTTCCAAAATCAATTACAGCTACATTTACCCCTACTGCAAGAGGAAAGCGAGCTGACTGGCAATTTTCAGATGAAGTGTTGTTGAATCTAAATGACAGTCTGTGCAGCTGCAGTCATTTCAGCCAGTGTAGCTTACCTAAGAGATTGGTTTTCACAGTAATGGACAGGTGCGTGTTGTTTTTGAGAATCTCGTTAGCTTTGGATAACGGCACATTTTCAAAGTTTTGCCCATTGACCTCTAGTATCTGGGGGGGAAAAAAGATTAAAATCCAAAATCTCAATCAACATTGCAGCTGGGCCAGTTGATACATATACATAAAGCACAAAGTTTTATTTCAGTACTATATACTTTCAGCACACAGTGAGTAGTTTGTGGTATTACATGTCACTTCATAAAATTCTCTCAGTGAGGTGAGGTATGCTGAGTGAATGCGAGTGTGATGCTTATTTTCAGTGTAAAAGGACTTTGCCCTTACTGCAACATGAACTCCTTTGGCATTAATTCATTCATTGACACAAATTCACACCAGTGACACAAACAAAAACAGATCCATAATCACGTTAGCGGCCAAGCAATATGTTTTTTATTGGCTAATATGGTAACATTTTATAATAAGTATACACTAATAAAATACTTACAAATAATTTGCAAACTATTAGTTTATAGTTAATTCATAGTTTATAAACTGTAGTTAATACATTAATAGACTCTATACAAATAGTGAGTTCTTCATTCATTGTCACTGTAATTAACAAATTATTATTGTTTAATTAGCTCATAGGCATAGACTAATATAATGTTTTGTTAACAGCTTATTAACCGGAAATAGTTCTCACTTTAGATTAGCTCACAGAAAATTGGAAAATGTAATTAATTAAATGCTTTAAACCAAACTTTACTTTTACATTTTTATATCCTTTACATTAATTGCATTAGTATTAAGTGTTCCTACAAATTCCACAAACTGTATATTCTATCCCCATCACAGAAAACTATATGATTTTCTGTGATGGGTAGGTTTAGGGGTGGGGTTTGTGTAAGGGGATAGAATATACAGTTTGTACAGTATAAAAACCATTACACCTATGGAGAGTCCCCATAAAACATAAAAACCAATATGTGTGTTTATATGTTATGCATTTGTAAGCTTTTTAAGGAACACTAAATATTAATTAAATTAATGTTCAATAAAGGCTGGTTTATAGCACTTAATGACATTTTCCCATTTTATGTGACCTAATCTAAAGTAAGAACTATTCACTCCTAATTACCAATTAACAATTCCTTTACTACGACCTAATTAAACAATAATAACTGTGTTAATAACAGCGACAATGAACAAAGAACTCACTATTTTTATATAGCCTATTAATATATTAACAATGTAGAGATTACAATATATAAACTACAAAAAACTATAAACTAATAGTTTGTTAATGATTTTTAAGTACTTTATTAGTGCATACTTATAAAGTGTTACCGCTGATATCTACTGATATCTAGAGAGCAGTGTGGCTGATGCCCGATTTCCCTTGATATATATATAAGAGTTCCCTTGCTAGTGATAACACAGAATAAATTAAATGGAAACTTATTCTACATAATATTAACTCATATTAAACTTAACAACAAATTGCTTATCCATTGTCAAAGCTGTTCACTGACACAAAGGGGAACTACCACATCTGTTAATTGGCTAAGCAGACACGGTTATTGTCAATAATCTCAAAACGGCCAAGTATCAGCTGATTAGCATTCTGAACAATCACAATCCTCTTGTGGTTCAGAGGGCAAATAGATAGCAACTAATTAAACAGCTTTATGAGCCAAATACTGCATTGAGTGAAGGGCAAAAGGAAACAGTGTGACACTCTATTCATCTGAAATCACATTTTCCGCTTGTGTGAAGGAGGGAAGCCGTGTGGCAGACATATTTAGACTACAGAACAAGTTAACAGGCTGAGATGTGTGCGCTTTTACGTTTGAACGATAGATGGAATGAAAACAAAATCATAAGATGAGGTTTTTGCTCTTTTTCTTTATGATTTAGGGCAGTATGCTGTCAGTGCTGTGACTAACCGCTTTCACCGCTTGACAACAGCAATTACAAATGCTCTCACACAATGTTTCCCACTTCCAGTCCCATAACTACTATTACTGCTGCTAATGCCACAGCAAGTTGCTATTACGGTGTCAATTTAACAACTACAACTATTTCTGTAGCCTACTTCAGATCCTGCATGCTGCTGGTGTGACATTACCTGATCTCCTCGTTTAAGTCCGGCCTCTGCAGCTTTGCTGCCTGGCTCCACGCTGTCAATGAAAATGCGAAAGCCCTTCTCTGAACCCCCCAGCAGGGTGAAAGACAGGGGTGCTTCCCTCGAGGGTTTGGTCAGGGTCACCACCCGCAGCTTAGCTTTGGCAGCACATGCTATGTTTAACAGTCTTAGGTGCCCACACATTTTCTGGTTCAAAGAGAGGCATTACATGTGAATTTTGCTGTCGACTCAGCCACAAAGATGAAGAACACCAAGAAATCTTAAGGTTTTATTGCACACAACTGACCTCTCTCTCCAGATTGTACTCGAACTCCTCAAGAAAATGCGTCATTGCGGAGTCACCCTCAAAGTCGTTGAAATGATTGTTTACCCACAGCAAGACTACCCGTGTAACCTGATGAAATATGATGTAAATAATCATTCATCTCATCAAGCGCTGATTGACTTAAGTGCTTGCATAAGAGTGTCTATGTACCTTGTCCCTGAGGCTGGGGTCATGGAACCACTCCAACAGTTTCTTGCCTACCACCATGGGGCTTGGCAGGAAGGTGCGGTAGGTAAGCAGGAAGTCCTCGATGTAGGTGGGATCCACTACCGAGTGCTCTTCTACAAGGTGCATGGTAAGACGCTCCGGTGTGCCCTGTAAAAACCAAATGTACTCTTTTAGAGGATGCCTATTTAATCCAACTTTGGCTTGTGACTCTCTGATTTGGGTTCAGCCAGAAAAACTGGTGGTCAGTTTCATTGTTGTGAGGCAAATTTCCCTCCACTCTAACTGTCAAGACATTGGACTCATAAAATGTATTTGATATTCAGTCCATATATGCCTCCACTGTGCTAAGCATATTTCCATGTTTAGGAATCAATAAATGGCTATGTTCAATGCATCTGTGTAAATCAGAGCCAACGCCATGTCAATCAAGAGTGTGAGTCAATGTTTCCTAACAGTTTTTGCTGCGTGGCACATCTCATCGGATTCAATTCAGACTGCAAACTCACAACTCAAACAAAATATAATTTATTTTGGCTGAAGGGCCGTAAAATAGAGGTGCAGGAAACACTGGTTTAAGTATAAAAATCCTTATGTGAGCTATCATTGGACCTCATGACAGGTAATGTCCCTTATAATATGTTTTGTTGAGAAATTGTTTTTTGGTTGGGAATTGCCTTCTTGTCACTTTACTGTAGCTACATTTCTGAACATTTCTTTACCTCTGGGTGTGACAAACACAAACTCATTTGTAGTTGGGTTCTCACCTTGATGACAATGTGTCCTTTTCTGGTGCCTGTGCGGTCAAGCTCTCGGTGTTCCTTCACCATCACAATCTCACCCTCCTCTTCCACCTTCTGCATGTTTTTCTCCACTTGATTAAGGATACAGCAGTAATCTTGCTGTGCTATGCAAACAAACTGACAGAGAGAGAAATGATAGCAAAAGTGAGCAAGCAGACACAAGTCGAGAGGCAAAAGTAAATCACTTTTAAGATGTAGCAGTGTTTTCAAATGATTTCCCCATGATAATTACACCAGTGCACTGAAACGGAGACAAGATTTCATTATTGCAAAATTTTCACTAATCACCCCTATTATTCTCATGCTTAATGAATGGGCAGGACCATATCACTTTTGCAGTAAATGAGTCATTATAAACCACTAAAATAGGTTGGACAGTGATAAAAGACATTCTTCTTTGGGTTTTTTTATCGATAGAGTTCTTTCTTAAAACATACTGGATAGCCAAAAATGCAATGTCACAATGCAAAAATAGGCTTCATTTTCTTTACTCAATGAAATGATGCAATCAAATGCAATGTTTATTTATTTTGGCAGAAAATAGGATTTACTTTTTTTGGGCAGATTATGGATTGTTGACTCACCTGGCAGTCATCCACCTTGGTCTTCATCACCCCTTTCATGTACTCTTTCTCCATGGTGGGGGACACACCGAAGCTGTTGCCCATGCACAGGATTTCCGTCCGGCCATCTGGGTGCGTCACCTCCACTGAGCCGTTCAGAATCACAGACCATGAGTCCAGCTACAACAAAGGTACAAGTTAACAGTAAGACAAAGGAGGACATATGGTTTATTTTTAATGTTAGATTACAGTTTAAATCACTGTCAGTTTGTTATATAAACCTCCGTGGTGAAATGCAAAACTTGGACCTAATTACTTGCTCCTGCTTTTTATTTTTTGAGCATTGGTAATAGTGGTGAACATGTCATCACATTGAGCTGTGCAAGCCTCAAGCCCTGTCCTGCTTTCAATTATATGGATGCATTAGGAGGGAAAATGGCTCGTTTTGGCATGTCAATACTGAGACAAGGAGATAAGTGATTCCCGCTGTACCGCGAGCATCTTGTAATCTCAAGATGCTGAATGCTGGCATCCATTCAGGTTTAACGGTGCAGAAGCTGAATGGCTGATTGGCTGTGACGAAAGGCAGGGCGAAGGATAGCAGTATGTGTAAGCAAAGCCACAGAATCAAGAACAACATGAGACTTAAGTGAAAGCTGGTGAAAGGCTAAAGGTGAATGACATAACTTCAAAAAAGAGAGAGAATTGGGGTTAAAGAAAGAACTAAAATGGGATTTGTGTAAAAAGCTAGGCTAATAGCTATTGATATAGAAAAAGTGCAGTGTATGTACTATACGTACTAGGTCACACATATAGGTTAAAGGTGAAACTGAGGCTTCAAGTAAGGCTAATGCTACTGGTTTATGTCACGGCAAGTCTAACCGACCTCTTCGCCATCATTAAGGACGACTGTGCCGGCCCGTTCCACCACAGCGAACACCATAACAGCACAAAGCTCCCTCCTGACAGACATGGTCATGTTGGCAAAGGCCGGTAGCTGGTGCATGAACTCCAACAGTTGCTCTGAAGAAACAGGGTGAGAAACAAGAAGTGAAAGTCAGATTTAAGACTAAGTGAGATACATGAGAGTCTTTGAAAGTCTTTCATTGATATTTGTTCTCTCTATCAGATGCAGTTTGTTCTTCCCACATGGAGAACGGAAAAACATTCTTTCCATGGCTATAAAAATAACAGCAACCAAGCATCGAATGCATTATTAATACAAAGCTATTTCTGAGAACCGGCTAATCTTGCTATGCAATATACAGGGCATATTATACATGACAAAATCCATTTCCACAGTAACAAAGAACTAAACAGAATGTAGTTTCTTCAATTATGGACACTTCCCAGGTGGTTTTATTAAAACAAACAGATTTTGATGATTTTTGTTATATGGAAGTCAAAATAAAACGGTCATAGAACCATTTATCATTTGTTTTTGCTACCTTCCAAATTCACGTGGTTTATGTATAGATTTTATTATTTAACTATGCCAGATGTTCAATTTTCAACTTTGAAATGTAAAAAAAAAATAAATTATAGCATTTTACAAATGTGACAAACCAAGTTAAATTACAAAAAAGTAAAATAATGAGCAAAATAAACCACTTTAATATTGTTTGTGATTTTTTTCTTTTCTCACTTTAGCACTTTTTAGCCAATTACAGCTGTCCCTCAGTTGTTGTCATTTAGATAAAATTCAAGACATGCGATCTGGACAGAAAACTTTAAAATTAAAATAAAGTTAGTATTTAGAATGCTGGGATATTAACCTTACAAAGCCATTTTCACCACAGGATGTTATTAAATACAATGCATCATTTGGGATGTGGCAGAAATGACACTGTGACAGAAATACTGAACAGAAATACTAACAGAAAAATGACAATTCTACTGTGCTATATGTATATATACTGTTGGACAACGGCAGCAGACAAATTAAATAAACTATAGTGAGAGTGTGAAAAGTGTTTTCACACCATTTTTTTTATTAAAACGCACAGGGCCAAAAGTGCTCATATAGAAAAACCCATTTCCATATTTGTCTCTTTTTGAGAGCTTAGCCTACAAGTGTGCATGCCATTCCGTTGCATAGAACATGGTACATATAACATCTTGTGTCCATTTATTGCAAAGTAATCATTATTTTACAATCAATGAATTACTAGAACTGGTCATCAAGATAATCATTTTTCTGTAACATGTTAATAGTTTTTCTTTCCATGCTCGACAGGCCAACCAAATCAAGTATTTGGCTTTAGCTATTGTGACAGGGCTGCCCAAAGGCTGGAGTGGTTCAGTTGAGATCGAGGAGAGTGGAGACAAGAGATTTTGGATTTTGTTCCCTGCCCATGGCCTGTCTGGGTACTCGATGACCTGTGCTTGGCATGGCACCACTGAAGCATAGCTGTGGATGCGGCTAAGCCAATCAAATTTTAATGCTCTCCGTGAGGCGCGGCTGAGAGGGTGACCTAGAAAAAAAAAAAAACACGTCTCCCCCTCACTTTTTCCTTTTGTAGTCTCCCCGACCTTTTGTTGCCTTCTTTTCCTGGCAATTTATTTAATTGATTTCGAGAATCCCATCTTTCTTCCTAGAGCAAATTCTGGTGTTTGAATCACATTCTAGCATGAAGGTTTAAGCAAATCACTCACCTATGTCATCATCCGTTCGGTCCATGGGGTCTTTCTCCAGGCAGTCTCGGACAATATCTCGACTCATGAGGGGATCAGAGGCACGTTCGATGTCTTCTTCATCGTCATCCTCCTCGGAGTCAACGGCTGTCTCGGGCAGGCCACTGAGGTCCATGTCGCCGGGCTCACTCTCTGTGGCCTGTGTGTCAAAAACCTTTGTCAGTCAATCAAAGTAAGGTATTTTGGAATTTTTTTCATTTTTTGCTGCGCATTTTTACATCACTGTGGTGTTTCTTCTAAATTAATATCCTGAATCCTGGAGCTGATCACAGACCTAACATCTAACATATTTCAGAAGCAAAGTTTAAGCACAGACCCAAAAAACACAAAATAATCAAGACTAGGATTCAAGGCTAAAAAAAAAACTGGAATGAAACATGACTGCATGTACTACTGTATAACAACAATTCAAAACAAGCAACAAAACAAACCAACCAAACAAGCACAGGTAACAACAACAACAACAACAAAAAAAATACATATTCTGGGTATTAAAATACAAATGTAGATGTTTGAACTCCATTTTTGAGAAAATACAACCCAACACCCACCCAGCACTGCGGCATGGCCCTACAGGACTAAAATAAACAAAAGAAAGACCCATCCCATTGTGTACACCACAATCTCCTGTCGCAACCAACCCTGATTCGCTCTCACCTGGCCGAGGAGCCCCAGCGGTACTCTGTTCCTCCCTGAAACTGCCCACAGTGTCGCCTTGACCAAATGCTTGCAGAAGCCGGGTCCCAGCCTCATCTTTAGAGCTCTGGCTTCCAGCCTCTTTTAATTTTTTAAGCCCCTCGATCTGGGCTCACAAAAAACGCATGTCATTTTGACTTAAATGACCTGTATTACTCATCAAATATTCAGACGGTGCTGAAAGCAGCCACTCAGAGGGCGCATAGGGCGGGGAGATGTGAAGCTGGGCTCTTTTTTGGTAGGGTGGGGACAGGGGAGTGGGGGAGGATGGTGGTGGCAGCTGGCAAAATGCACTAATATAAAAACGAGAAATCTATCACATAAGCATCCCTCTTAAAGAGGTCTAAATTACTTGTGAGAATAGATCACCTAAAAATAACAATTCTGTCATGATTTACTCACCCTCATGTCATTCCAAACCAGTATGACTTTCTTTTTTTCTCAGAACACAAAAGGAGAAATGATGGAGAGTATATTCATTGCAAGTACAGTGAATGGCGATTGAAGCTTTTTGGATTTTTAATAAAAAAGCAGCATAGAAAAATCTTAATAGTATCAAAAAGTTTCATTGAGCACGTTTACATGCAAGCTGATAACTCACAAATATCAGCTTATTAAAATAACCAGTTTTCCCCGTTTACATGCACATCAGTAACCTGACAACGCAAGTAAGCTGCGTTTACATGACTTCATTAATAAATCAGGTTATTTCCCTGTAGTGACGTCAAAATATAATCATTTGCGTATCTGACTCGGAGTATTCCATACATTTGTCAGTTGTGATGTTAAATTAAGCTTGCAACATGTCGGGAAACTTACAGCTCATATATTTTCGTCTCATGCAGTTATAAACGCAGCATTGTGACTGAACCACTTCTACTTCTGCTGCACGAGATGAGAACACTTTTTTTTATCATTTTATGAGTCATGAAAAAGTCTGCTTTTGTGATATATTTCCTTCTTTCTTTACTGCAAGACGTTTGCTCGGTCTAGATGCGCTTAAATGTGCACTAACGATGTGTTCCTGTCACGTATCACACATGCGCACTTCAATAAGACGACAGAAAGCAGGTTATTGCGTTTACATGCCGTGCGAAATCGAAGTAAGAGGCAAAAAACTACCTGTTGTGACCGGTTTATGCTTATGCCGTTTATGACCTCACTCCGATAAAAGAAAACAGGTTACCGCATTTACATGACCAAGTGCATTTTCGTCTTATTAAGCATAATCAGCTTAAGAACGTGCATGTAAACGCACTCATTTTTGAATTTCCCTTTTTGGTTTTTAACACAAAACTATTATTCACTAAAACTCTTGACATATTTTCATAAGAGGAGTGTCTAATTGTGTCTAATCAAGTCTAATTCTTGAACAAATTATTTTTCTTAAACAGATCTCTTTATGATTCGATTCACAAAACTAGTCTAAATAATTCAATAATTGGACTGATCTGGTTCTCAAGTTGAATTGAATGACACAATGATCTGGTCAACAGTTAACAGCTCTCTAAAGGTGATTATCAACTTAAATTCAAGAAAATAACTGACATTTTAAGTTGTTCCTCAAAAAACGACAAAAAAAAAACTGCACAAAAGTCATATGAAACATTTTTATGGTTCTTTTGCAGTCATTTTTGAAGCATGGCAGCTCAATGTAATTGCACAAAATTGTGTAATTGTGTTCAACGCAAGAAAGGCATACGGCTTTGGAACGACCAGTAAATGAAGACAGATTCTTATTTTGGATGAACTGTTCCTTTAAGGTCCTCAATCCTGCTGAAAACCTACATGAGCTCTCAGATGCTCGATAACCCTGTGGCACACATTTGTCCCGGAGATCAGATTGGAGTTAAAACAAACACAGATCTATGAGCAGCATTTACCAACTACAAAGACAGACAACCTCAAATGCTGCATCCATTAAATCGCAGGAAATCCCAGTATTCCCTGCTCTCAACTATGAATTAAATATGCATTCCCAAAGCAGAAAGTCACTGGTGCATGATGACTGAAATCTATGTGCTTAAATAACAGCAATCTTGTTGAGGAAAGGTATCAATGACTGTTGATTAATGCGGTTTTAAGATCTTAAAATCAATACACTAAACAGTCACCCATTAGCTGAACCTTTTGGGATTTACATTACATTACATTTTCATCCAGACACGTTATATTGATGACTCGCTTCAGATCATTATGTCTCTGGCAGATAGGCTTGAAGAAACCAAACACATCACACTCAAGTCACATATTGATAAACCAACTACACCACTTTGGGATTGTTCAAAAAGTTTCATTGCTGTACTTCAACAAGAATCAAACACCACCAATGATGCAGGCAAAGCAGGAGTTGAGCTGGCCTCCCTTTTATAAACCATTTAAGAGCTAATCAGTGAAGACAAACATAGGGGCTGTTAATACATTGTAGTTGATAAAGGGACTGATTTATCTTTCAAACTGTCATGTCTGGTGCAATCTATAGCACTGTTTGGGCAGCTAAGATGATCGTGAAGGGAACATAAATTTTTTAGCAGGACTATTCTTGGATCAATGCTTTCAAGCCTCCCTGAAGAACCTGCATCATTATTTATTCAAATGTAAAAAAATAAATAAAAAAAACAGAAAAAGAAAAAAAGTGACCGCTTTGACAGCTGCATTGAGGATATGGGCCATTACTCATAACAAAAGAGGCCTGAGGTACTGTAGGATACCAACATACAGTGGGGTTCAAAAGTGAGACCACTAGTACTAGTAAATGCTTCTGTTTTGCATTTTTGTGGTTTAATCAAAATCACTTTAATTTCAGGGAAATGTTAAATGTATGTTAAGTGTCAAATGTAAAAAAAAAAAAAAGTATATATATATAT